CTCTTCTTTATCTACAAAGTCATGGAATTTAACAATTATATCTCTTGGTCTTTCTAATCTTTTTTCTTGTTGATATTTTCCTATCCTATAGACTCCATCCAATTTAAACGTCTCCACGTCTGTTTTCTCCATTATGGAACTCAAGATTTTGTCGATTAGCTCTTTTAAATCTTCCCCCTTTGTTAGGATTATTTCTCCTTTCTCTGTTTTCTTGTTCTTCCATCATAAAAAGCAGTCTTTTCTGTTCTTTTCTATCTTCTTTTATCCATTTCTCTAATTTTGGGACAACTTGGGAATGAATTTGAACCTTTTCCTCCATTTCCTCCACCCTAGTTAACATTTGCTGCAATTCTTCCCGAATTGTCCCCATCTCTTGCTTTATTGATTTTTCCAGATTTTTGAACATCTCCGCCATTTCCTTTTTATTAGGTAATTGCAGGTCTCTTTCAAAATCTCTTGATTCAATCCCTTCCTTTAATTGTTGACTATTATATACCGGTCCCAGGGATAGTCTCGGGCTGTTATCCAGACTTATTTCCAACTCACTTTTTTCACTTACTCCCAACGTTCTTTCTGGGGTCAAATTTCCCTGTGATACATACTTTTTAATCGTACTAGATTGGGAACTCTTGGACCCACTCCCTTTAGTATTTTTTCCTTTCATGTTGATTTTTAATGCTTTACTTTTACTTTCGAGGCTTCCTCTTTCACTTCTCCAGGTCTTCAGACCCTCCCTAGGAATCCCCTATATCCTTATGTCAGACTCAATGCTTGATAAAATGTCTTTTTTTTTTTTTTTTTTTAGAGGCACAAGGAGATCCAATATAAATCAGGTTCAAGAACATAAATCCAGTTTATAAATAATGCATAAAGAGTTGCAAAAAAATCCCACAGTTAACACAGTTATCACTCACCCTCCACGTTGGAGTGTCTTTCTCAATACAGTCCTCTCCTGTAGCCGTGCTCTCTTAGGGGGATTCCTATGGGTCTCTTTTTTTATATATATATTTTATGCTGCTGATATGTCAATTGGAGGATTTGAGGGGATTTGAAGTTGGGAATGGTGTAGTTTGGAGGTAGTATGGCTGCATTCCCCCCCTCCACCAGTCCACCAGCTCACCCAGACGCCGAGTGTTGGAGCGTCAAGCTGACAAGCAGTCTCTCCTCCTGAAGCTCCCAGGGCTCCTTTGCGGCTGCCCACGTGTCTTCGCCGCTGCGTCCGGCTCCCTGGCAACCCTGCTCCTGCTCCTCCACTGCAGCCGCCGCGGGGGTTCCCAGTGAACCTCCCGGTCGTCTCTCTCCGGGATCCCGCCAGGCTCCAGGCTCGCCACCAATGCTTCCCTCTTCAACCGGGTGAGTCTCCGCTCACCCTCCGGTGCAGCTGGTCTCTCTGTCGGAGACACCTAGGGAGGATATACGGGGGAGGCTAACAAGGAGTGCTTACAGCACACTCTCTCGTGCCGCCATGTTCAGGCTCCACCTCCCGCCCCCTTCCGAGCCAGAAAAATGAATCTCATCAACGCAGATTTTTTGCTGGGGAGTATAGACATCTGCAAATTTTTGATTAAGGTGATTTACTAGGGGACGTATTTTGTGGAGCCGGTCAAATTCAGGGTCACCCCGAGGACGACAGAGTGTATTGTTGTTGAAATGCATAAAACACGTTATACTCTCATATCTATGCCTGGCCATGGCAGCAGAGAACACGGGCATATGATGAATCAAGTCTGTGGACCAATACAACCGCAATTCATTTTTTTTTTTAGCAATGCCCATGTTGAGGCCAAAAAAAAATTTAAATTCAGAAACCATAATGGGTTTCCATGCGAATGGTCTGCAAGGTTTGAATTTGGGTTGACGGCGATACATTGTTGTGCATATAAATTGCTTTGATCCACAATCAATGCATACAGATCTTTTGTGAAAAAGAGCTCCACAAAATCAAGGGGAGTAGTTAAATTTGCTGTTTCCACCTGAGTTCCGGGTTGGGCAGTGAATGGAGGAAGTACAGGTGCTGCAGAATTTGTGGGCACCCATGGACGCCCTCCCAGAACTGGACAACCGTGCTGTAGCCATCTTTTGGCTATTGCACAGTTGGCAAGCAGTTAAAGGATTAGTTCACCTTCTCGCTCCTGATCCTGAAGCCGCCACCTGCTGCCTCCCCTCCCATGACAGAAGTACAGGGAGAAGTTCCCTGTACTAGCTGTCACTTTTCAAAAACAGCGCGGCTGTGCAGGGCTCCGCCCACATTGCCACATTTATTCATAGTCCTCCGTGAATGAATGGACTACAGGTTCTGACAGCCTTAGCCTTTTCTTTGATCTTTTGCTTTTAAAGGTAAAGAAGAGGTTTGGGGTCTTTTTGACCCCTAATTTCTTCTTAAAGTGGACCTGTTATGCATATTTCTATTACAGGGGATATTTACATTCCTTGTAATAGGAATAAAAGTGATTTTTTAAAAAATAAAAGGGACAGTGTAAAAATTAATCATTAGCCGCCTGGCATATAGCAGTTTGGCGGCCGCAAAAATGTTTCAGCTTTCCGGGTGCACACCATTTGGCGTGCTCCCGCACATGCGCAGTTCGCATGGTTGTACCTCGGACACGGCCGATGACAGATCTGAGTACCGGCCCCCCCGTTGCCGATACCATGTGACCCACTGTGACCAATCACAGCAGGTCACATGACAGTTGTATACAATGGATGGCTTCATTCATGCCATCCATTGTATACTAGTGCCTAGCTGTGAATGGTCACATCAGGTCACATGCATATGTCATGTGATTAGCTGTGGCCAAATCACAGCTAAGAACAAAAAAAAAAAAAAAAAAGCCTGAATGAATCGATTTCATTCAGGTAAATGCTTGCTTATAGCAAAGTAATTATTTGCTATAAGCAAATTGTATAAAAAAAATAAAAAATGCTGATCCCTTTCCCAAAGTAGTACAATGTTACTATGGTAACATTGTACTACTTTGGTCATAGTAAAATATGAAAAAAAAATCTTAAAAAAAAATAAAAAAAAAATGTAAGAAAAAATAATAAAAAAATAAAAATATATATATATTTTTTTTTTTCATACTGTCACCAGTCAGTGTCCCTGTTCGCCACCATGCCAGTTATATGATGATGCTGTACTGCACTGGTGACAGTATGTAAAAAAAAAAATAGTGAACATAATTTTTTAAATTTTTTCATTTTCCGAAAAATTATGACAAAAAAAACACAACTTCAAAAAACTCGCCATTCCTCTTATGAAGTACGTCGGACTGTCTACTCTGCAAAAAGGGGTCATTTGGGGGATATCTGTACTATTCTGACATTCTTGGACCTCAAGAAATTAGATTGGCTGTCAGTACTTCAGGATTGATCAATATTCAGATATATCCCATAGTTTGTGAACTCTATAACTTTCCTACAAACTAAATAATACATCCTAATTTGGGTTATTTTCACCAAAGACATGTAGCAGAATACATCTTGGCCTAAATTTATGAAGAACAATTATGTATTTGCAAACTTTTATAACAGAAACAAAGAAAAACGTGTTTTTTTTTCAAAACTTTTTGGTCTTTCTTTGTTAATTTAGCAAAAAATAAAAACCCCAGCGGTGATTAAATACCACCAAAAGAAAGCTCTAGTTGTGTGAAGAAAATGATAAAATTTTAGTTTGGGTACAATGTTGTATGACCGCGCAATTGTCATTCAAAGTGTGAGAACGCTGAGACCTGAAAAATGGCCTGGGCAGGAAGGTGTAAAATTGCCCGGTATTGAAATGGTTAAAAAAAAGAAAAAAAAAATCTTTTTAAGCACCCACATCCCACCTTGCACAAGGGAACGCATACGTAAATCGCACATGCATTTGTAAATGGTGTTTGCAGCACACATGTGAGATATCGCCGCAATCATTAGAGTGAGAGTAATAATTCTAGCACTGGAACTTCTCTGTAACTCTAAACAGGTAACCTATAAAAATGTTTAAAAACCGTCCCCTATGGGGATTTTTAAGTACAACAGTTTATTGCCATTCCACAAGCGTGCTCAATTTCAAAGCAAGACATGTTAGGTATCTATTTACTCACCATAACAAACTCTTTCATATTAAAAAAAACATTGGGATAACTCGTTTTTTTTTATTCACTAGTGTATTTTTTCCCCAAAATTTTTTTGAAAAACTGCTATGCAAGTTCTACGTGACATAAAAAATTGCAATAATCAACATGGCAACCTCTAGGGTCTTTGCTAAAAAAAAAAAAAATAAATATATATATATATATATATATATAATGTTTGTAGGTTCTAAGTAAATTTCTAGCTAACAATACCAATTTGAATTTGTAAACAAAACATCCTAGGAAATGCTTGGTGTTAAATTCACTAAAACTAAAAGAAGGTTGGAGTGGAGGTCACGTTTCCTGGCAAGAATAGAGCTCCAATCTTCAGCCGGTCTGCAGCAACAACCCTTAAAAAGTACACACAGGAAATATGTGACAGGACATATGTGACCTCCACTTCCTTGAGTTGTGTCTATTGGTTGTTTGTGATATTAAAGTTCATGAAATAAAAAAAGGGGAGAGAGGTGGTCACATGTTTCCTGTCGAAAATGGAGCTCCATTCTGCATCCAGACTATTGGAACTCTCATCCTCACATCCCCATTACGTCATCACTGCTAGTTGTCACCAGGGGCATGTACTGCACAGCCAATCTGTTTACGCCATTCATGCAGGGGCGGTGGTATGTTATGTCTGCTCCGCCTTTCATCCAATCAAAAAGCCAAACTACAATGACTGACGGCCTCTAGACATTGGCCAGCAGACCCAGGCAATGTAAGGAGGCGGGTCCACCAGGGAGCTGACTGATGATTGGTAAAGAGTGCTGACGGACGGTTCTGGGGACAAATCTTGCGGCAGCCCGCGCTGGCCGGGGCTTTCCTTGTAGTGAAGTATTCGGTGTCGGCTGGCTTGGCGTTCGGACGTGAGGTGAGAAGCTTGGTGCGGAGATGACTTCCACACACACCTTCCAGGGCCTGGAGGCCGACAGCAAGCCCAGCTCTAGGTCAGACCCGGTCCTGGGGGGTCCCTACGCCCAGCAGAGGGGTTGGGGGGGGGTGAGGAGGGTGGACCCCGGCTGTGTCTATAGAGAATTAGGCTGGCTGAGGGGGTATACGGCGCAGACATGAACGCTGTGTCTGCTGGCAGGGCCTGCTGGGACTTGTGGTTCACCAGACTGGACATGTCTGTTCTCTAGTGGCTTCATCCTAGAAATAGATTGCAAGCTCTTGGGTCTAGAGCTGGATCTGTGTGATGTGGATGGGTTCTCTCTGACATAAAGCCCAACTCCAGTAAGAACTGCTTTCCATTTGTGATTGGAGAGATGAGAGGTTGTCACCTTGGTTTATTGTGCTCGGTGACACCGCTGGGGGCGGTTACCCTCATTCAGCATCTCGGTGACACCAGGAATGGGGTGATTGGTAGACAGATTCTGATATTTCCTCAGTCAAAAGTGTTGTTTGCCTCCATTGGAAAGGTGAATTCCTATTTCCTAGACTTCCTGTCATTGGAGCAGGAAGTGGGAAGAAATCACCACAATGGGGACACCGATCACCATAGAAATTTAAAAAGGTCCTGATCTAAAGGAGAAAGAAAAGGTTTTGGCTGGAGTTGGGGTTTAAAGTGTCATTAAAGGAGACCTCCACCCCCACACTCCCCCCTTTATTCTAAAGAATTGCATTTTCTTTCCAAATACTTTTTTTTTTTTTTTTTTTTTTTTTTTTAGGTTCCCTAATGGCTTGTTCACACAGGCAGCAAAAACAGGCTGTTGTGCTGCGATCTTACTGCCCCTCTAAACTTAGAAATGCAGCTGCTTGGGGCTGTACACATACCACAGTGCTTTGTTGCTGCTGCAAGAATTAAGCTGCATGGGGCAGCACTGCAATGCACACTGTTGTAGTGTGGGGTGGGGAGGTGACATCGCCACCACCTGTCAAAGGCCCTCTGAAAAGAAATCTGCTGATCGCTTTTCAGTAGGGTGTCAATAATAGCTGCATGTTTGAAAGAGCCCCATCAGGCTTCCTGCCTTGCTTGTCTTGGTGAGCATGATGTCACCATGCAGCCTGGAGGCTCTGGGGATACACATACCGTGCATCCCAGGAGGCTTCGGTACAATCTAGAACAGATGGGTAATACGTCATCTGGTGGGGGGGTCATTTGGAACAGACAGCCCCCCCCCCTTCCCCCACCCCCGTGTGGTGATGCAACAAAGAGAAACTGAGGTCCACCAATAGACTTTGCTGGATTGGCAGAGTATGGTTAACTACTTAATCTCCAGAACATTTTAGCCCCTTTGTGTCCAGGCTATTTTATGCTATTCAGTACTGCGCTACTTTAACTGGTAATTGCACGATCATGCAACACATTATGCAGATGGAATTTATGTAATTTTTTTCATGCAAATATAGCTTTCTTTTGGTGGGATTTAATCGCCGCTGTTTTTTTTTTTTTTTTTTTTTTTTTTGGTTTTTTTTGCTTAATATATAAACAAAAAAATACAGAGACTAACACAGTGAAAAAGGTATGACGGGACAAAAAAAAATGAAGTAAGGGGGTGGCGGTCCTTTTTAAACCTTCAGTGTGAGATGTGATTTATAACCACATCCTGCAGGACTTACCATGCTTGTTCTTTGCTTTCTGTCTGCAGCCTGTCACTAGTTTTCTCTTCTCCATTTCCCTCTTGAGGCTGACTTCACTGCCATGCAGGGTCCTATGGAGCCACCCTTACATAGTTGCTTCAGCCTAGGAACAGGGGCATTCATATGCCTGGAGCTGGGAGAACAAGAGAGATGGGGGAGGTCGATTGGGGTGTGTGCAGTGCAGGCCTGGACATCAAAGAGAAAGAAGGGCCCAGTGTACAGAAGGCATAAGTGGGCCTGGGATGGTGGGGGAGGGAGGGTACACATGCACTGTGCTATAGCAAGCTATACATAATTCAATTTTCTTCGGCAGCAGGAAAGAAACTCAATTCCTCCATGAACACAGGCAGTATTTGATGAGGGAAGACCTCGTCGAGAGCTATTGTGTGAGCTGTCCCTGCTGGCAGAACCTAATGATTACTGCTAGCAGCCATAGCCGCCGGCAGAAATCGCATGCAGAAAAAAAAAAAAAAATCAGACAGACTGATTGCACTGAAGTTGATCAATGGATGGAGTTCTGTACAACCAGGCTGGCCATAGATGGATGGAATCTAGGCCACTCCCTGTGAACCAGCTGATATTTGATCCATCTATGGCCAGCTAGAATGAAGGGACCTTGATGTGGTGTTGTCAAGGGTCATGTGACTGGAATCTTGAAAGAGTGGCACTGATGCGCATGGAGCAAGTGACAACACAAAATAGGGAGATTGTGGGTATGTTCCCAAAAAAATGGGTGAGGCTGTAGGTTATTTTAACAATTATCTTTTAATTGATAACGGTTAAAAAAAAAAAAAATCTAATGAAAAGAACTCCGGCCCTCCTGACTTTCTAGGGACGATCTGTGCTTTGCATGTACAGATGTGAGCTGTGCTACCGGCAGGCTGGTCTTGTATATCGGAGGTTGCCGGTCTGGCCATGTGCTGTGATCCTCTGTCTGCAGATCTCAGCAGCAGTTGATGTGTCATTTCCAGCACGGCTATCTTTCAGGCATTGTTCTAGATATTGTGACTTTTTTCTGTCAAATGGGACAGCAAGGATATGCACAAAGGTGTGTCCCTTCCAGCCTGACTATTGTCCCCAGTGTAGGAGGTGCCTCTGACTCCAGCAGGCTTTGTTCTTCTCTAGGTGTGTGAGGAGGATCGGGCTGAGCTCCTGGTCTTTAATTACAGAATCCAGAACGGTCCTTGCCATGTGTGCAGACAGGATCAAATTGTGTGCTGCTCTTGATTTCTTGCACGTTAATTGTTTTATCAGTACTGCAAGACCACGCCTAGGCTGTGCATCCTCACTGATGAAAGGGCGATGCTACATGCCTAATTTTAATGGCATGCTACTGTGCAGTTTAACCTCTCGCTGGCAGTTACTTTGCAGGGCATTTAAACCAATGTGCTCCAAGCATAGACATTTCCAACAAGTGGTTAAATTTCTTAGTTGCATCAGATGAAGATCCCTGATGTAGTCTGGCTTTTATGCTGCGCTGTAAGAAAATTGTAGCACGCGGTTGTTAATGAAATTGGACAGCATACTGATAAGATCACACCATGTAAGCGTAAAATGATCCATTGTAGTCCAAAAATGTCTAGAATTCCCCTCCCCTGCAGCCCCCAATCCACATGTTTGTGGAGAGTCTGAACATGTGGAGTTCTGCAAATGAATTTTGCTCAAGGCCAGCAGTCAGCTGGGAGATGGCAGATCGCGGACCGAGGCCTGCAGACATACAAAGCTGATCGGTTTCCCTAGAATGATGGAACAGTGATTTGCATTGTTTGCAGGCTGGTAAGGCCAAGCTTAGTAATTGGAGGGTTTGTCCTGGTGCTGCTGTGGTTGAAATGTGGCCTGACGCACATAAAAGGGTCATAATTTTCTGCAATGTGTCTATGTTCTGCAATAGTAGTCTATTTATACATGACATGGGCTTTTTTTCAGCTACTCTGGTCACCGAAGACATCAGTTTTTTTTTTTTTTTTTAACTGAAAGTCTGTCTCCATCATTCCAGAACTTCTAAGTCCCAATTGAATTTTTTTAGTTTTCATCCTGGAAGAGATAGGCTAGGTTAATGCCTATGCAGTTTGCTTTTGATCCATTGCTGCAATACTTTGTGGTGCGTTTTTTGCACATGCAGGTATTTTTTTTTTTTTATTTAAATGTTCCTATTATATCTTTATTTAATTTTCCAATACAAAAGTATAACAACCCAAAATACATCACATTCACAAGTTCATAAATCTCTTTTACAACATATTGTCCCCTACCCCACTGTCCTGGAGGTGGCTTGTTCTGGAACTGTATTAACTTTCAACAGTTTTTCAAATGGGTGCATATCTTCCGAAGTCCTCAGTGGTTGAGGGAGCAATGAAACAAAGTGTCCTAGATGTCCATAACGCCACTCCTCTAATGTGAAAAATAAATAATTTTTTCCTTTTTCCTTTTTTATCTCTTGGTATGTGTGTAACTTCCCTTTTGTGCAAAATATCCTACAAATTTGCATCCATTAATCCATTTACCAGAAATTCTCTCCTTCCCTGGAGGGAAATGCTCCATACCCACCAAAGGAGTCAAACCGGAGTTATATTTCCATCCTTTCTGCTTATAAATTCCATCCCACACATTTAACACTTTTTTGTTACAGGACTAATATTCTCATCTAGTGTATGAAATGTATGTGGTATCCATACAATCTTCCCTAGCTGTGCCTCACTTAGTGTTCCTTCCATATTTACCCAACCTTTCCCTTGTGAGTTCAATGTCCAGTCTGCTACTCGTGATAATAACACTGCTAAATTATATTTCCTAAAATTAGGCAACCCCCGTCCCCCATTCCTTTTTTACCCTAGACACTACATCATAACTGATTCTCGGTTTCTTATTTGCCCATATAAACCTGAGTATCATCTTCTTTATTACCCCGAAAAAAGACCCTGGCAAGTTTATTGGGAGCATGTAAAACTTGTGAAGAATTTTTGGGACTTTCACCATCTTTTGAAAGATTCCTCAACTGACCCTTTATTTCATTAATTAAGGGGATGAAATTTGCCTGGGATAAGCATTTCATTGAAGTTAATTTTATCCCCAGGTAGCCTATTTCCTTTTCCTTCCACATGAATGGGAACTCTTTTTGAAGACTCCACTTCTCTTGCTTTGGAATGTTAACATTTTAGATCTCTGACTTTTCAGGGTTTATTATCAGATTTGACAGCTTGTCATATTGTTTTAATAGTCTCATTAAATTAGGCAACGTTATTCTAGGATTTACTATATAAAATAACATATCGTCTTTGTATGCTTCCACCTTATGCTCCACTTCCCCTACCTTTTATTCTCACTATATCTACACATCTTACCCTTGCCAAGACAGGTTCCAGTGACA